CGCTGGCGTTGCGCCCCGCGCGAGCCGGCGGCGCGCCGGAGCATCCCGCGCGCGGCGGCCCGCTGGTCGTGGGCATGCGGCTAGAGCAGAGCGACCGGGCGCCCGCGGAGGCGCAGCAGGCGGGCGTGCTGCAGGTGCTGGAGGGCAGCGAGGTGCAGCTGCGCCTCTTCGGGCTGGGCTTGCCGGCGCGCGTGCACGAGCTGGTCTCCTTCTCCGAGGCCGGCCCGGCGGGCGCCGCCCTCGGCAACGCCAGCCGCGCGGCCAACGCTAGCTGCGCCGAGAGGACGCAGGACCTGGTGGTGCAGGCGCGGGAGGGCGAGAGCCGCGACACCTCGGCTGTGCTCTTCGTGACGGTGAGGCCCATGCGCAAGGCGGAGCGCGCCAAGCTCTACGTGCTCTGCACCCGCAGCCGGCCGGGGCAGCCCTGGCTGCGGGCGCCGAGCAAGGACGCCTTCCTGTGGGTGCTGGAGGAGAAGAAGCTGCTGCTGCCGCTCTGGCTGCAGATCATCCTCATCGGCGGCCTGCTGGTGCTCTCGGGCATGTTCAGCGGGCTCAACCTGGGCCTCATGGCGCTGGACCCCATGGAGCTGCGCATCGTGCAGAACTGTGGCACGGACAAGGAGCGGGGCTACGCCCGCAAGATCGAGCCCATCCGCCGGAAGGGCAACTACCTGCTCTGCTCGCTGCTGCTGGGCAATGTCCTGGTCAACACCACCCTCACCATCCTGCTGGACGGCCTCATCGGCTCCGGGCTGGGGGCGGTGGTGGCCTCCACCACGGGCATCGTGATCTTCGGGGAGATCGTCCCTCAGGCCCTGTGCTCCCGCCACGGCCTGGCGGTGGGCGCCAACACCATCGCTCTCACCAAGTTCTTCATGCTGCTGACCTTCCCGCTCTCCTTCCCCATCAGCAAGCTGCTGGACTGCGTGCTCGGCCAGGAGATCGGCACGGTGTACAACCGCGAGAAGCTGCTGGAGATGCTGAAGATCACAGAACCCTACAATGACCTGGTGAAGGAGGAGCTGAACATGATCCAGGGCGCGCTGGAGCTCCGGACAAAGACGGTGGAGGACGTCATGACCCCGCTGCATGACTGCTTCATGATCAACAGTGATGCCATCCTGGATTTCAACACTATGTCAGAGATCATGGAGAGTGGCTACACACGCATCCCTGTTTTCGAGGAGGAGCAGTCCAATATTGTGGATATTCTGTACGTCAAGGACCTGGCCTTCGTGGACCCCGACGACTGCACCACGCTCAAGACCATCACTAAGTTCTACAACCACCCGGTCCACTTCGTCTTCCACGACACCAAGCTCGATGCGATGCTGGAGGAGTTCAAAAAGGGTAAGGGGAAGTGAGCCGATGCTGGCGCGCTTTCGAGGCCTTTCCACATGCCACGAGGTCGAGCAGCGGGGTTTGTGATCGAGGGCAGGCCCAAAAAGGAGCTGCGGCCCATCCTGCCGCTGGCATTTCTGTGATGCCAGCATTTGCTGCATTTCCGCGTTGCATTAAGAGCAGGCTGTTCAGAGGCATGTCCAAGGGAATAATTCTGCTTGTTTTCTTGAGCAAGCTGTGACTCCTTGGGCCACTCTTGGATATGGAGATGTTGCGTCTGTTGTCTCTGAAGCATTTCCTGGCAGAGAAGCGTAGCTGGTCTCTTAACTGCTTTCAACTTTTTGTCCACAGACTTGGGACAGACAAACCTATTTGCCTCGCCACCCACTGCAGGCTGTTATAAACTAGGCTTGCAACACCCACCTCGGCAGATCTGTTCAAAATAAGCTTTCAAAATATCATTTGGAGGGCTGCTGTTTATGTGACTTTCCCTTCTAGTTCAAAAACAAGCTAACTAGGATCAAAGAGGATGAAAGCGAGAAGTTAGATCCTTCCGGAATGAGATCCTTCCGGTCTTGGGCCAGATTAGCCGGGTGATGGGCCAGGAAAGTGCAGCTGGTTTCTCTCAGCTTAGACCAGAATAACCGAGAACCTGGGCAGGGGCAAAACTGCTTTGCAAACTTTTAAAACCTGTTGCTTGAAAGTTTATAGGGAGGGAACAGTCCTGCTCTTGAGAAATTCTGCAGAAGCTCGGCAGCATGTGAGCATAACTAACCTGCAATTTCCCCCTTCAATCTTGTTGTTGTTTTAGTTGCACGGCCAAAGGTACGTTTCCAGATGAAACAAATACTGTTAAATGCTGAAAGCTTTGAAAGTCACGTGGCTTCTCGCTCCCCAGCTTACAAATCTATGTTGTTTACTTTTAGAGTTGCACTGTTTAGGCCACTGTTAGGATTGGGGCCCCTATCCGCTAGGACGCAATGTGCAAACACATTGCTTCTATTTTGTTTGACGGATTGTGTCTTGGCTTTGTTGCTGTCAGATGGCTAATACTTGTTTGCAACAGTAACGCTAAATAGCAACCTGTTGCAAGTATAAATAAGAGAGAAAAGGAGGAAGCTCTGGGCCTGGGGGGCGTGTTTTGGGCTGTGTGTCAACGTGGAATGCCTCCCGAGTATTTGCAGTCCAAACATGGCACCAGGGGGTTGTTGTAAGAATCTTGGCACTGCTTTAGGAGCAAAAGTGAAACCGTATGGTCAGGAAGTGTGTGTGTGTGTGTGTGTGTGTGTGTGTTTGGTTTGTTGTTATTCTGAAGGAAATGCCCTGCTTGTTTTCTGAACCAAGCATGTGGCTAAGAATGAAGTGGCTCCGGCTGCAGAAGTTCTGTGGGGTTTGCCGCAGCAAAAGGCTTGCTGATCCAGTGGCATTTTTAGCTTGGCTTTGACCTTTTGCAAGCCAGATTTCCACCTCTGGGTGCCTTCGGACAGGACAGTCTCGCAGGAAGTTGCCATAGGAAAAAAATTAATCCCAGCTGGCTGCACACAGTGTTAATCAGTGCATCCAGACCATTAAAGGCAGGCGTAGGGGAAGCTCCGTGTTTTGTGGCATGGCTTCAGCTCCTCAAATTGGGACGGGTAATTGTGTGCCACGCCCGGCCCCGTCTGACCTTTCATTTGCCTGTGCTGCAAAGACCCCTAGCACAACGATAGTTTCTCGGAAGAGGCTGCCTGTCTGCTCTGCATGAGTCCCTGTTCAGGTGGCTTCCTGCTTTATAATCGGTCTGCATGGCAAGGATCCCCAACATCACTCCTACAGGCCCACGGCACTTGCAAAGACCCTCAACAGAACTCCTAAGTCTCCCCGCTCCCGGTCCTTTCAGGCAGTTGCTTCTACAAGTCATTCCCTTTTCCTTCCTTTCCGAACCTGCTGCTGCCCAGCCTTGCCCTGCTCCATCTCCACCCTGTCTCCATCTCAGCCCTGCTCCATCTCCATCTCGGCCTTGCCCTGCTCCGTCTCTTTCTCCATCTCAGCCTTGCCCTGCTCCATTTCCGCCCTGT